TGCTGGGTTGGGCGCTCGTGGCAGCAGCGTGGCTGGAAACTCCCCGCCAGCTCCGGGCGCAGCGCAGCCCTGCCCTCTCCTTGGTACATGCATGGCGCTTGCCTACATCTCTCCTGCTGTGCCTTGCAAACCTCACCATTTCCTCTGGTGCACTGTGCCTCCCAAAAGGGCCGGGTGGGTTTTCTACACAGGGGAAGGAAGGCGTTTGCTTTCCCATGCCACTGGGGCAGAGGGCATTTCCCTTGTTCCCAGGCTCGTACCCCAAAAGCAGCTGTGTTTGCTTTCGGTTTCCTTCTCTCAGTGCCGTGCCACGAAGGTGCAAGCGAGCAAGAGTCACATGAAGAGGCCCCAGCGCTTCTGCTGAATCACCCTGCGGGAAAGGCTGATGCATCGAGTTCCTGGCCTGCGCCATGGGCACTGGGGCCTTTTCTTGGGCTGGAAGGAAGAAGGAGCTTTGTGGTATTCCAGTCCCTTTTCTGCACTGGGACCCATTTTCCCCACATCCCTCTTCCTTGCAGACAGCCATGATGATGGACGCTACAGAGTGTGTGTTGTGGAGGTGAGATTGTGCAAGGCATAAAACCAGTAGTGTGGGGAGGGGGTGGACAGGGAGGTGTGGGGCAGCACAGCAGCCCTCTCGAGCTTGCTCTGGCACATCTGTCCCCAGCTGGAGCCTGGCTTCTCCCCCAGGCTCTGTGGGGAAAAGCAAAAAGACATTTTTAGCCATGAAGATCTCTGCTTTCCCCTTTCCACAGCTGTCTTCGGTGCTAGGCCAGCCCAGCCCCTCTCACCTCTTTCAGTGACTCCTTTGTATCCATCCTCCTGTCTGTCCTGGTTTCTTCTAACACACTGTGGGCTGGGGCTCAACAGGACTCATGCCTCAGAGTGGCATGGCTCTTGTAAGATCAATCTTGAACATCCTTAAAATCTTAATTGCCCTAGATGGTGGCTAAGAGGAATGCAAAATAGAGAAGAAAGAATGGACCTAATCCCTAAATGGGTTCACACATGCAACTTCATTTATCCACTAAAACACATGAAGTGGTAGAATATTAAAGTTTTACTTAACTTAGTCATCTTTCAGGGATTGGGCTTTTTCTGAAGGCCTTAAGGCATCAGCAAATGAGGAACTTGTCACAAAAGGCAGGAGAAGTTTGCAATCTCAGGCACCGCTTTTTTTATTCTCGTATGACTAACATACAGAGCTCAGATCTAAATGAGGTGAGTAGAGACACCTACTTTGTTCTTTGCAGTCAGGTTTATCATTCTACCTAAAAAGTTCTGGTTTATTCTTCTTTTTTTTTTTTATGTCTTTGTCACTCTCCTGTTCCCTGTTAGCATCATTCAACACAACTTAATGTCCAAATAGGATACATGTGTCTCTGGTGTGGCTTTTTATGGCTCTAAAACGTCATCTGTATTTCCTGGAATGTGTCAGAACTGCCATTTTGACCAAAGACTGCTGGTCGCTGTCTCTGTCCCCACGCAGGGGTGCCATGAAGGAGAGCCCCCGTGGCCCTCGCGGGTGCCGGTGGCTAGGCAGGAGCAGGGTACGCCGTGGCTGGGCGTGATGCCCACACATGCAGGGAAGTGACGCCACGGGGCAGCGTGTGACTGTGATGACAGGGGAAAGCAAAACCTTCCCACACCACAGCTTTGAGCTGCACTTCCCGGTACTCAGGGCCATGCAGGCTCAGCACCAGAGCCAGCCATCAGTGCGGGGTATGTCCTTCATGCTGCCTCTGTACTGCCCATCTCCCCTTGCCCTGGGCTGGGAGGTTCAAAGCTTTGGTCCAGCAGTTTGGTGCTTTTTTTATTTTTTTCCTTTCCTATGCAATATTAGGTCATTTAAGCACTCTCACGGCACCTCCATCCTGTGTCCAGCACCCCAGTAAGTGTTAGTAAGTGCCTGGAAAGCAAGTAACACTGCATCACTTGACCTACAGACCTAAGGCTAATCTCTGCTGCTTCTGGGAAAGGAGACTGGGTCTTACCTCCTTGTCAGGGAGTACAGCTGAAACCAGACTGTCATCACTAGCCATTAGAAAAAGCCCATTTCAGACTTTGCCTTTACAGAAAAAGCCAGCCATGTCTTGTTCTTTCCATGTAGTTGTGTTTCACAAAGCACTTGTCTCATCTAAAAGACTTCACAAATTAATGATGATTGCAGTAATTTTTGAAGTTTTTTCCTTAAAAAAATACAAGATCCCTCTCTCAAGTTATCATAAGAAAGAACATTTGATGCAAATAAACATCCTTTCCCAAACCAAGGAGTTGCCTTTCTATCCCACAGTGTGTAAAGCTGTGTCTAGAAGGATGTTTTCCGGCAGTCAGGGTATTTTCTGAAGTTAGCTAATACTAAAATCAGAACCTTTTTGCCTTTCCATTGATAGTCCTGTATGTGCTGGCGTCACCTTGCCATGTAGCTGAATCAGTCTGATACTATTGTGCTGAGCAAGCAAGTTACCTGAAGCTGTAGTTGCTTGGATTTTTCCCAGCTATCAAAGCCATTTCCTTACCACGCTGCCGATGCCACAGTGGCACTATGGAAAGTACAGATGTTGTCAAAAAATTACCTCCCTAATTCCTGTTCCTGGACAGAAGAAACCTGGATGTGGCCTCGTGCCATTTTCACGGCTTGGTCATGTCCCCTTTGGAAGCACAAACAGAAAGGTGTGAGCAGAATTCTGCCCTTAATCGCTGCCACGCAGTAGGTGGCAAAGGTGGATTTGATCCCAGTTCAGATCCTAGAGCTGAGGAAGGAGGTGCAAATGTGGTACCTTGACCTGGACAGAGCCTGATAAGGCAGGCAAAATCCCGAAGGCACAAGAGCCTGGTGATGGGTGCCATCCTGGGGCCATCCTGTCCTCTGAGTCCCCTGGGTGGGTGCTGCAGCAGTGTCACAGTGGTAACACAGGGTGCTAGCATGCTTACGGCAGCTTGGAGGCCTTTTCACCGGTCTTACTCAGTGTTGCTGAAGGTAGCTGGGTTTTTTTTGAAGTTTACACTGGATTGTCCCCGCAGGAAGGTGCTTTGGCCCTTCAAGCAGTGTCAGCAGCATTGAGGAGGAGCGGAGCCAAGTGTGCTCCCACAGTCCTTTCCTGTGGAGGGGGGAATGATGCCAAAGACCCTGTAAGATTAAATGGCTGAAACACTTTTATTTGAGGTCACTAGCATTTCATGGGATATCTCCTGTTGCTAAACAAGTGACACCTGCCTCCCCACTTTTGGAGGGCTTTTAGTCTGGTGAGATTTGCATTGCCAAGAGACCGTGTGTGAAAAGGGAGGGCAGCCTTGGCATGAGCAGTTTCTTATGCCATCATGCAGACAATACAGTGACGCACTTGGGTAGAGACGCTTGTTTACAGCCGTAAGAGCTTTTGGGACTAATGCTCACTGACAGTCCCGCCATCAGTCATCTACTTCATGAAAACCCTGCCAGACCGAGTGACAACACATCATATCCCCAGCCCTTCCTGTCTGGCCTCCTTGCACCTCTATGGATGCACGTCATGCCCTCACACTGTCTTCTGTTGACAGGAGGATAAAATTAGTGCTAAAAATAATGACCTGCAGATGAGACATTGTTTTTCAGATTACTTTAAAAACCATCCCGCAGCAGGGGACAGAGGGAAGGAGGAAGACGTTGTCTATTGTCTAGCAGTTTGTTTAGGAAATACCACTTGTGCATCCAGTCACAGGTGTGAGAGCGTGAGCTGGCTGAGGGCACCAGGCTGTTTTTTGCCTGGGTGAGCACATTACAAGTGCGACCAAGGGCTGCACTTGTTGCTCTGGCAGGTGCCCACGGGCCATGGTTAATGGAAAGTGCTACGGGGCGGCAACTCTGGCAGTTTGCTTCAGCAGGTAGGTTTGGTTTATTTTTTTGTATCAGGTGCTTGTGGGTGAGTCAGACACCTTCAGTCAGTGATGTTGTGTCCCAGTGGTAGGATTTTTTTTTTTTACCCTGCCGTTTTAGGGAGGAGCAGGTCACAGGCATCACGCTGTGGCAGTGACCTGGCTGAAGAGGGACCAGGCTCCAGTCGATTAGGGTGTCTGGATCTTTTCACAAGGCTGATGAGTCTTACAAGTGTAATTTTCTGGTGGAGCTGTGTAAACATGCACTCTGCAGCACCTGTGGTGTCACTTGGCATGCGGCTGATGGGCCTTCTGAGGACCTCTTTGCTGATGGCCCCTGATGTAAAGCTCTTCCAAGCCTCTGTTGGTGGCTAACTGGGAAAGGACAGGGAATTGCTTCTCCTTAGTTTGTTTCGTTTACTAGAAACCAGAGCCTTTGGCCAGGAAGCTCTTAGTCTTCCTCACACTGGGACACGTGCCCCAGGCACAGTGCTCTCTGCCAGTGAAGCTGGGGAGAAACAGCCCAGTGAGTCAGGGGAAAGCCCACTGTTGTGCAAGGCATATCAGGTGAGGATCCCAGGCTCTCCTGTGCACAAACACATCTTTGGGTCCCAGCTTTAGGGAAGAAGAGTAAGCTCTGCACTATCTTTTTGCTATTCCCTTGTGGTAAGCAGTAACATATCCCCTTCTCCAAAGCTCCAGCTTCAAACTTCAGAGAAAATAAAAATCTGAGCTTGGCAAAATGATGTATTCTTTTCTGCCTGCATCTGAGACAAAACCCTTAACTTGGATGTCTGTCCTTTACTGATCCTTCCCCAGGGACTCTCTTCCTCAAAGCTGCAACACCTCTGGTAGAGGTAATGGAGCCCCTGACACCACCCAACTATTCTGCAGGCAGTAGTTATTAGAAAATATTAAAATAGGTGTCTCAATTTCCCATTTTGAAGTTCGAGGACATGGTTATGTTTTGTCCTTCTTAAAGGCAGAAGTAGAAGCCTAATCTCCCAGTGCATACCTACTGGCACTCTGCTGTTGCCCTAGTGTGTGCCTGCTGACTTGGAAGTATGGAAGGAATCTGTATAATATGATCATGCATTCAGAATCCACACACACACACCCCCCCGAGTTATAACAACAATGACTCATTTTTCTCGCAAACACTTTGTGTTTATTATGTCAGCAAGAATTCAAGACATACATACATGGCAAAACATCTGGCCCATAACCAGAGTAGGCCTTAAGAAGAACAAATTTGTGTTGATACAGTCATATAGCAGATCCTTTGCAGAAGTAGCAAACGGAATCCTATGGAGGGCATCAGCTAGTGCTTGCCCATATACTGGCACTGGACCTGACCACTTGGATCTAGGTCGTTTTTCCTGAGGTCCCAGTGAATGCTAGCACTCTCGACAAAGCTCAGAGAAACGTAAACCAAAAAAGCAAAATAGTCTTTGCAGATCTAGACAGAAAAATACTGCTATCATACTTAGATATCCCCATGACAATGCATTTATGGTGATACTTCTTTTCATAACAGTCATGTGTGCTACAGCCTGAAGAATTGGGCAGGCTCTATGAAGTCTGCACCTCATTTCCTATTGAATTTCAAAGCATCATACATTGAGCAGAACACTTTTATTCAAATACACTTCAGTTACTAATGTGAATGCTAATGCTGAATTTTCCTGAGAGTCCCAGACAGGCACGATAATTATTTAGTGTCCTTGATGAAGACTCCCAAGATTCCACCAAGCCCAGGACGTACATCAGGAGCCCTTCTTCTGAAGTAGGAGCTGCCTTCTGATGATCAGCTTTGCTGAGCTGCACGCAGCGCTAGCCTGGGAGCTGGTGTTCAGCCAAAGAGAAACTCTTTGCATTTACTTTTTAGTATCAGAAAAAACAACCTCTGTACATGTCAGCAAAGCACATTACTTTGCAGTACAAGACAAATAACAACTATTCTTGAAACATTATGGTCTCACTGAAAAGGTATTAGCTGGCTTCGAGGAGGAGGGAACTGTGCGTGTGGCTCAAGCCAATGGCAAATCTCCCAGTAACATCACCAGGATGGGGTTAAGTCCTCCATGCAGAAAGCAGGCAAAATCGTCTTCTGCTTAGTGCGATCAGTGACAAGAAGCAACAGCCATACACCATTGGTTGTGACAGAGTGTCCGGAGCTATGTAATGACAATTTTGCAAAGGTAGTTTCAGAAGAGCTAACTGAAAAATTAATTACACATACAAACAAGAATTCACTACAAGGCAGGAAAAAACCCCATAATTTGAGCAGACCTCATACAATGCAAATGTACTTATATACAAGGTTAGTTAAGAGAAAGAACTCTGACCATTGACCTAAGAGGTACCTACAAAACACGATAAGCTTCAACCATTTTCTTGCTAGCTTGCACCCACCAAAAAATACTGCTTAGGATCATGTCTGGCATGCATTGACTAGCAGAGTTACTGTTTACCTTGATGGCAACCAGCTTAATTCAGCTCCTCCAAAGCCAGCCAAGCGTAATAACCCCTCAGTGAGACAGGCATAATGCATCAATATCCCCTGGATGTGCTACAGTGGCTTCATCATTCCAGAACTGAAATGAGGTTGCCATGAAATGAAATGGAAATAAAGTACAAGAGAAGAACCTTCACTTGTAAGCATAGTTAAACATTCAGAAATCGAAGGCTACTTTCTTGTATGAACCATAACATTTAGTTCTATTGGTATTATTTCTTCAAAGAGAGGTAGTTTCTTTCTTTGAATAAATAATATTCTCAAGAAAAATTGAGATTCAACTTGGATTCAACTTTAAGATCTACTTCTATTGAAGCATTATTTTGTTACTTATAAAGACAGAGCAGTATTGTACAGTTCTCAAGAAAATCTTTGTAATGTTGAAAGTATCCTTCCACCAAACACACATACCTCAATATGTCTTATGTAATGCTATGCTAAAGTATGCTCCCCTCTGTGTTGCATGATGTATTTATTATCACAGGACATCATGCTTACTTCTATTTAATATAATGTATTTTCGTGTCATGTTTTGAACATTTTTTCATACTATTTTTTGACCCTAACAAGTAGCATTCAATTAATAGTTATGTGAAATAATCATTTCATACACACAGGGTGCACATACTTATATTTTTTATATATATATGTTATATATATACAAATATATACATATATATAAAAAATATAGACTAGAACTATGCAACATCTAGTTAATCCATAGAACTGTAAATTTTAGTCCACAAAGCATCATCATGTAACAAATAACCTTTCAGTAAAGATACTGGTTTATTTAACAAATTAAATAATCCCACCACCAAATCCCTGTCTAGCAGAATTCATGCTTTAGAAAACAAGAGCATTCAGAAACTGAGCAACTGGCTTTCGCCTTGTGATGTGCAATCCCGAGTTCCAAGACACTGACACTTTTTTCGCCTCCTTCCCAAAGGTGGTCCAAGCTCCTTGGTGGAACATAGATGTGGGACAGGAGGACCGGCGTGTGCCTGGGGAAACCAGGCTCCTCTAAGTATTCTCACATCAGACTGAACGGCAAGTTCTGTCTTGCCCCAAGTCTCCCCATCGCTATCTTTTTTTTCCACCTGGCATTCATATCCCAATATTGCTGTAACATTCTTCAGAGAAATCATGTTGCGACAGCCATCGTTCAGCAGCTAAAGGCAGCAAAATACAACGCAAAGAGCTTTCTTCATCTCCCAGTGTCAGTGAAGTCCCTGGTTCCAAATCCACAAAGCCAAGGTCTTCCCCCACTTTCCGGCGCGCCGTGTCCGAGGGGAGCTCACCTTTCCGGGCAGAACAGCTTTGTGAGGAGGTTCAGGATCTTCTGCCGCAGGTCCCACTTGTCGCCGATCCTGCGCAGCTGCAGGGCGCACTCCGCCACCGCCTCCCGCTCTGCGGGGCACACGCACGGCGTCAGCCACCCGCACCGCCGCCTGTCCACCCACCCTTGCCTCTCCGTTTTCATGAGATCTTGAGTCAATTTTGTTACCTTTTTGTTCTTGTTTTGTTTTGTTTTGGGTTTTCCCCCCCCCCCCCCCTCGCCACCCCCCCTCGCCAGCGCCCGTACCCCCCTCTCGCCTCAGGCGCATCCTCACGGCGGGCGCTGCCCCCCGCTCCGGGTGCTGGAACCGGGCGAGGGGAAGGAAAGGGACAGCGGCCCGGGAGGAGAAGCGTCTCCGTGTCCCACCCCGCTCCCTTCGCCCCCCGGTACCTGCGGGAGCGGCGGGCGGCGCGGCCTTCCTCAGCGTCCTGCCCGGCATCATCGCGGCGGTGGGGCACGGCACGGCGCGGTGCGGGGCGGTATGGCACGGTGCGGTATGGCTCGGTACCGTATGGCTCGGTACCGTATGGCTCGGTACCGTATGGCTCGGTACGGTATGTCTCGGTACCGTATGGCTCGGTACGGTATGGCTCGGTACGGTATGGCTCGGTACGGTATGGCTCGGCTCGGCGGCGGTAACAGAGTGCGGGCGGGCGGGGCGGAGCGCGGCCCTAAGAGCGGCGGCGCGGCGGGGCTTTCCCCGCGCCGTGACGTCGGGAAACCGAGCGGGAATCCCGCCCCCACCCCCCCCCCTCCCCGCCCCCCCCCGTCCAGCGGGCGGGCGGTGGCGTGCCGGAGCGCGCCCCGGGCGGCCCGGGGACGGGGACGGGATGGGAACGGGGACAGCGCCTCCGCGGCGGGATAAAAGGGAACGGCGGGATGGGGTGTGCTAGAACGGGAGGAGATGGAGGGATGGGGCGTGCTCGGGGAGGAGGAGAGGGAGGGATGGGGTGTGCTCGGGGGAGAGGAGGGGGAGGGATGGGGTATGTTGGCGGGGAAAAGGGGGAGGGATGGGGTGTGCTCGGGGGAGAGGAGGGCGAGGGATGAGGTATGGTTGGTAAAGAGGAGACGGAGGGGTGGGGTGTGCTTGGGGAGGAGGAGGTGGAGGGATGAGGTGTGCTTAGGAAAGTAGAGGTGGAGGGATGGGGTGTGTTGGGGGAGAGGAGATGAAGGGTTTGGATGGGCTTGCAGTGAGCCAGGAGAAGTGGAGGGGTAGGGGTTGCATGCTCTGGGCAAGAAAAGCCAGAGGCGTGGGGTGTGCTTGTGCTAGGCAAGGAGAGATGGGAGGGTGGGCTGTGCTTGTGTTGGTGGTCCAGGAGAGATGGGCATGGTTGTGCTTGCACTGAGGAAGAAGAGGTGGAGGGATGGGGTGTGCTTAGACAAGCAGAAGCAAGGGATGGGGAGTGCCTGTGGTGGGCAAGAAGACATGGAGAGATGGACCTGCTTGTTCTTAAATGGGAGATGCTCCTGACACAGTGCTGTGTTATTATTCAAGGTGATGGTGACCTTGGCCTTGAACAAACCATAGGGAAACAAGCTGGCCTGTACCACATGCCATTTGTGACTTGCGGCTGCCCTCCTGCTGCTGGATCCTCTCCATGGCACTGCAGTGCCTGTACGGCGTGTCGCTGGCTGACACGCGTCGGGGCACGCTTACCTGTGCTTGCTGTAATTTTAGATGATGCTTTTTACAAGAAACAAGAGCTGGAGTTACAAAGTTGCCCTCATGACTTTGTGATGTTTGCACAGTAATGGGAGAGCTGACAGTGATATGTGATTCACTCATTGGCCTCCTGGCTCTCAGAGGGCTGATATTTGGTGTGGTGGCACATAGGATAGACTTGTTTTTAGGGAAAATGAAAACAGGTTGATGTAAATAAAGCACAAATGGGCCAGACATAACAAAGAATTTGTTTGTGGCTGAAAGCCAGTAAGTGCCCACCTCTCCTATCAAAACAGAACTTCAAGAAGGAAAAGATGTCACAGTGTAATACAGACACAAAGGGGCTGTCGAGAAGATCCTTTCTGTGGGATAGGAGCCTCTGAGATCCAGTGTCTAGAAACGCTGATGACTTTGGAGTCTATTATAAGAGGAAACGTTCACCAGCTCAGCTCAGGAATTCTTTTCCCTGCATATTTCCTGGAAGTGATAGCACACCTGAAACAGGGCTGGGATTTCTCTCCCTGCATAAGAAACCTCAGCCTTGTTGGTGCCTGACAGAAGGCAGCAGGCATGGGGCTGCTGCAGGGCTGGCATGTGGGACAGACAGCAGTGCCAACTCATGGATGAGATATTTCTCAGGGTGAGATTTCCAAACAAAGGCTATGGCTGGATGAGGCTTTTGTATGGCCGCTCCTGAGATGGCAGCTGGGCTGCAGCGGATGCTGGCTGGGGTGACAACCTGCAGTGTGCTCTGCTGGGTTGTGACCTGGTGTCAGAAGAGCTTAGGTTGGCCAGAGAGGAGGTTTTTTTAAAATATTGTCTTAATCCCTCATCCTTTGATATAAAACCTATATGGCATACAGGCTTATTTTCTTGACTTGATGTGCTTAGAGTCAGTTTTGAGCTGTGAACACCCCTGCTTGTAACTCAGCCCCATTCAGAGAGAGCTGCTCTTTGACCGTATCATTCCTATTACATAAGAATCTGTTTCTTCACAACGAGTTTGTTGGGTTTTAGATGGCGGGAAGGCAGGTAAACAGCTCAGGAGTGTGTCAGGAGACATGACGTGTCATCCCTCGCTGCAGAGGTGTTGTGATCTGCAGTACACGATGCTCAGGGCTGCTTCTCACAGCCATAGCCTGACGGCTGCTCCATGAATCATGGCAGCCACTCCGGGATGCCAGCACAATGGGGCTGGGGTTCTTACTGAGACTTCCACATGCCCCCAGTGCTTGTGATGCACAGCAGTCCCAAATGCAGGGAAAACACTCACAAACTCAGGACATGGGAAGGAGAGACACACTGGTCCCTTGCATGTTATCTTACTCATTTATTTTGCTCATTTAGGCAGAGCCAGGGCTTACCTGCAGCTTGTTCTTCTTTGTGAATTCGGAGACAGAGGTAATACTTGGGCAAATTAGTTAAATGACTGTTCCTCCACTAGGTCAAAACCAAATGAACCTCAATCCCGTCCTGCTTAGCAAGATTGTCTCATTCAAAATGGGGATGATCTTTAAACGCAACTTCTCTCTGTATCTCTGCAGCAGCACAGAGAGATTGGCCATTCTTTGGGGCAGATCTGGGAGAAGAGAGGCTTTCCTATCAGGGCAGCTGGGCACAAACCAGTGGGATAGTAGAGTTGCAGGCATTCATTTATTTTCTTTATTTTACTTTAAAGTAGTGGTAAGATAATAAGAATGGTGGGGGACTTTAGTGTACAAAACAGGTTAATAGACCCACCTGTGAGCCAGAGTATCGGAAGTACTTATCTCCCCCATCGCTGCAGTCAGAGCTGTGTATCTGACTGTAGTGGTATAAGGCAGGAAGCCCCACTGTTTAGAGGGGAGCTGACCTGCACCAGCTCCGGATCTGGTCCACCTACCTGCAGGGTTTTACTGGTGTGTGAGGGCCTTCCTGGTGTGTGACAAATCACAGTCCATTATGGTGGAAGCAGCACACAGCAGGGCCGCTGCCAATTATAGAATTGCACAACACAGGCAGAGCAAAAAAATGTCCATTGTGGTTTCAACTCACCAGTGAGCTCTGACGTTTTTTTCTTTCAGTTCCCTTAAATAAAGCAGTGTAGCGGTGGGAAGCACAGGCCCCTGGGAAGCTGCTCTGCTGGAGCAGTTACAAAAGATGTTTCTTGCTGTGGCTCCACTGAGCAGGACCATGGGTCCCCAGGTGGGCACAGCCCACGGCGGGGAGCAGAGCAGCAGCCCACGGAGCACAACCCCCTTGGAGCAGCCTTACAGTTTATTTCTGTTTAACAACATTTAAAGTCAGCACAATTACACAGCTGAGCAGAGAGAATCAGCTTGAGGTAACATGCGCCGAGCTTTGCCAGTGTCTGGGCAATGTGGTCTAACCAGGAACATGTTATTGAAAACCAACATGTGACGGACTCTCAGTATGAATAACACCAGCGGGCAGGCTGGCTGAAAGGAAATCGAATGTTGCAGAAGCGAAATCAAGAGTAGGAGAGAAAGGAAACTAGCTGTTTTTTCTCTGAACTCAGTTATTTTTGATGAATCAGCTTGAAGCTGTTCCCGCGCCTCCCTGTAAGATCTTAAATAAATCTGTTGGTTATTGGTGTTCCTCTTCTCATCTTCCCAAGTCTGTCTGGTGTGGATAGCTCTTGTGCCAACTGAGAAGCTGTTTGTCTCTCTCTCCCTTTTCCCATTTCTGCAGACGGCATTCTTGGAGGTTCCTGTTGATCCTCGCAGGACCCAGCACCCAAGCAGGAAACTCGGCTCTATTGTCAGGATCACAAACCAAAGGTCATTTGGGGAAAGCGCAGCTGGGTGTGGCTGAACCAAGCAAGGGTGATGATAGCTTCAGCAGGCTTTATTTTCTTTTTGCCATTTCTTAAATCACTCTAACTCTTTTGTTTGCTGATCTCTCGCATCTTTCCTCCAGGGATCTCTCTCACCATTTCAAGTAAAGCTTCATAAAACCTCAAGCCTTAAGCATTAATCTCAATCGCGCTTTTCAAGGAAACGGCTTTGTTCTGTGTTAGTGATTTTTTGGGGGCAACTGCAGCAAAGCTTTAGCCTCCAACAGCTGCTGCTGCACTGCCAACACTGCCACTATGGTGAGAGAAAAGGTTGATGCAGTTGTAAATAGTTAAGTGAAATACACCAGGTAATACGAATTTGAGTTACTGGTGTGATCTAGCACTACACAGGAAAAGAAGCTAAGGAAACCTGCCTGCTTGCTGCTCAGGTGTAGCCCCCACTTGCACAGGTCTTATCTTCTGTTTAAATATTACCTAATGGCCCTACCACTAATTTTTTAGAATCTCACCTAATGCTGTTCTCTCTCACCTACTTCCCTTGAATACTTAAACATATGATTTTCTTAGCAAAATATGAACTTACATGACTTGTTCATATATCATAGTGCTTTGTCACTGGCAGAGGGGATGAACACCCATCTTTTCCACTGTGACCACCTGCGTGCCAAGCAGGCAGCATTAATTAATTACTTCCAAAATGCTTCTGAAAGATGACTCGTGTGTCTGATCTGGTGCCCACCAAAGCCAGGGTGGTCAAAGCTGTTTTGCTACTGAGAGTAATAACATTTGGTTGAGGATGAGGTTGAAGGGAAAAGCCCTTCTGTGATATAGCTGAAGTGGAAGTGAGTTTATATGAACTGGGTGCTGTTTAATCAAGGAGTAGCTTTGAGGAAACTTAGTTGACCGAATTTTCCTGATCATAGGTTGTTACACAGACAAGTCTAAATTAACCAGGGCAGATTATCTGGTGAGCTGAATTTTTTGTGAACGCAGAAAGCAAAGACACTGCAGGTGGCTCCTTGTGAGGTCATTCCTGATTCAGTCACTTGGTAGTCACCAGAAAGCTTTCTGAAGAGCTAAAAATAATGTAAGAGCAGGCAAAATTCACTAGGTTGTTCATTAAGTGTGTTTTAGAACTTCTGAAGGTGACAATATCCTCATAAAGA